TCCGACGGACAGAGACGGTACTGTTTTTAGTAGTTGTGCATGTCGGTAGTAAACTCGGTTAAACAGCACCGCCGAACAGAATTACACCATGATTTGTGAAATAATTTTGTGGCTACTTCACATGAGGGACGATTACGAAGTGTTTTCGACAAGTTTATAAGTTACAACTTACAAAACCCCATCAGTTTCTACATTGAGTATTCTGAGGCTGGTCGATTCAAGCCTTATGATGGCCAAGCAGTGTACTACTATTCAGATATTTTCAAACCCTTGTGGTTTTTTGAAACTATCTACTCTTTACCAATCCCTTCTGAACTTGTAGCCCTTTGCAACAGGTGTACAAATTTTGATCCTGTTCTGCCGTGCCATAAGGGTAAACGAGTTCATCGAACAGGACGTTTCGCTGTGTAACTTGAGAATATCGTACGGATTTACCTCAAGTTTCACGTACTGCTGATAGGAAACTTTGGTCTCTTTTGGGAGAACAAGACTAGGTTTTTCATTTGAAGTGGAATGAAGAACTAAGAGGCACTGTACAGTTGTCCTTATCGGGAATCGTCTGCAGTGCGTATTTCAAGAAACCCAGGTCGGAACTCTGGAACCCGCGATCTCCCTGCCGGTGGGTTGACTTATACCGCGGAACGAGATCTCAAACGGAAATTCCCAAATCTCTACCCACTACCTACCACTTATAAGTAGCTTAGAGGGGGGATAAATCCAAAGGTGAGTGGAACTTTTTTGTGAACAGCCGACACCCGGGAAGAAAATCAACTAGTGACCATGTGATAAGGCTCCATTGAGTGAAAAATGAGTGATGGCATGTCCTACCAAAGTGTGAGTTAATCACACTGCACGTGGCCAAACAACCAAATGCTCAAGCTACTAGCCTAGAGTTCGCGAGCTCTTGATGATTTCCAATAAGGATGAAACATTTGTACAATGCCCGTCGGCTTTTTAGACTACAGTGGCTTCACTTACAGGACCAAATTTCAATTAAGAATTCGCGAATTTCACCATACTACTTATCAAATTCAGACATGTCTGACTTTGAAGACAACCTTGGTTGAAGACGGTCAACAATGGACCTGAAATCGGCAGGTTATCGAGTACTTCCCACAGGTTTGCGAGAGTAAATACCTGTTGGAAAGAAGCGAAATCACCCAAGAATACCGGCGATTTCGCAGTGGTTATCCAGCATGTACCCTCTTCACAGTCTTCGCAAAACCTTCAGGCTCATAACACGGAGAAAAACAAGTCAAAATAATCGATGGCAATAGAATCTCCGGGAACGTTGTCAATGGGTGTTGGTTTTCAAAACAGAATTGTTTAACATTGTTCTATTAGTAGTGATTCAGGCTGTCCATCTCTCACAAGAAATTCTAGATGCACACTTGATAAGAGTTGATGGGTTGGCAACAAATCTAGCGGGAACAGTCTAAACCAAACACTATATGCCTATTTGATGACCGAGTTCAGCGTCTGGGTGGTGTTGTGTAATAATCTTAGCAACTATCTGGATACTGAAACACACGCAACCCCCCCTTGGAAGCAAACAGTCTCCCCTGAGGTGTAGTGCTACCAGCGAGAAAGTTGCACAAACTTTGCGCCAGCATGCATAAATGATTGTTAAAAACCGAATATTCGATAACCTTCACGGAGTTTGTCCCCCGTTTCTATACACAGCGCCCTCATACCGGGTACCGTGAAATCCAGAACACGGGTTGATGAGTGTCAACGTTTTCTGGTCTCTTCTTTCTGTCAATACGAATCGAGTGAGTACAAGACTATGGATGAGCGATTCACACAAGTAAAACAAGGATAAAGTAGAGTCGATGAAGATTGTTTACTCTTGGTGTTTAATGTTTAAGCCACGATCGACTGACCTGAGTGGCCAGCGGTCACGTGGACGGAAGATGGAAATCTAAATGTGTGTATGAACGCGTTTTGCTTGCACGAACTCGGAGTGTGTGGGCGAATGGCGATCGCCTCGGTTGTGACCAGACATTGATATGGAACAGACCAATTCTAAAATAGTATTAGAACTAATCAAATGACTGGTATCAGCCGGCCACTGAGCTACTGTGTCTCGATTCTATAAACATGAATCTCGGTCGTCAACTTAAAACAAACCGTTTGAAGTACCGGCGTTTCCTAGTGTCATTTGTCTTTCCTTGCTTTCTTTGATCTCGCCTGTCACCTAAGCATAATCGATTTTCTAGTTTACACTCAAAATTAACTGGTGGCGAAATCAATCAGTATTGTACAAAATCATCCGAAATTATTGCTTGATAGTTTTCGTTCCCGTAATTTCAAACCTTACTTATAATAATTCGTAGTGGAGTTCATACATCCTCAGTAAAGTCACCCTAGAAAATAGATTCACCCGAAATCCATTCATGACTTGTTTGGTGACATATACTACTTATGAAATCGCGTAATATCTTCCCTCATTTCAAAGCATCACAGCAGCAGCTTATCGAAAAATGATTTGAACATCAGCTGTCCGAAAGCGTTTGTTCATTGACGTCAGTATCCAAACGACAACCAGAAAAGCTGAATATTTTTTCAAGCTGTATGTGAACTAGGCTTCACTTTTGCGTTCATTTTTCCGCAATGGCCCGCATCCTAACGCGACCCGCCTTTCACTTGTATCCTTTATTCAGGTACGTGACCTCCTGGGCTTCCAAAGGTGCTGACAGCAGTTTTCTGACCACAAAGAAATGACTTTGAAAATGGCACTTGCTGATACATTATAGCCGCTGAAACAGAAGTTTGATTTATCATGCTGAGCAGCTGGGATGTGTACTTTGCACCTCCGATCACCGTTTACCAAAGAAAGTGCTGTTTCCCATTTTAAAACCACTAGTGAAGAAAACTCCTCTAAGAATATGTAGTGATATCGTAGAGCCAATTAAGAGACGCTCCAGTCGAATGGGGAGTCTGCATTAGCAAAACTCTCATTTGAACTGTCTTCCCCCTGCTCTTCTGTCACAAGTATTCCGGTGAGTCAACACAGAAAGCATTCGACTATAGTTCAGCTATTTCTGGAGCACACTATTGAGTGTATGTCCTTGGCCATGTAGGGAATTCGAACTCCGCACATCTGACGTGAAATTTGAATGTGTTAACACCATTGCATCAGTGACAGAGCAATTAACGTGGTTGTGTCGATCGGTTGATTCACTAGCCACCAATTCCGAGTCAGTAGCGCCTGATGGATAATCCTTGACAAAGTCTAGATGGTTCCTGGTCTTGTAGAGTCTGTCTACATTCACGTCGGTCTTCTTGAGTAGTCCCTTTCTTATACCGGTGCCCCTCATGTTGACCAGTTCACTGAACCAAGGTCAGACTGGGCATTCTGACAGAATAAATAAACAAATCGATTGATTTTGGAATGGGCTTTTTTTCCAAACGGATCACCCTAGGTTGACGGAAGCTCGGGGACTGTGCCTGTCTGATGAGCTCCGATAAAGGCAACTACAGTCATGGGCTACTCACCAACCTTGTGAGTGGCTTCGTTTGTGGAAATATACTACGATATATCGAATATCGCACCAATTGAACATAAGACAGCGATTGATTTTGGAATGGGCTTTTTTTCCAAACGGATCACCCTAGGTTGACGGAAGCTCGGGGACTGTGCCTGTCTGATGAGCTCCGATAAAGGCAACTACAGTCATGGGCTACTCACCAACCTTGTGAGTGGCTTCGTTTGTGGAAATATACTACGATATATCGAATATCGCACCAATTGAAGCATAAGACAGCTTCTGTGCAGCACAGCCACTTGAGTCTCCCCCTTGCGAACCAAAATGATAAGCAAATGAGTGCATTCGTCGAGTAGTCTTTTGTTATGAAAAAAACAGTATCAGTTTTGTTTCCCACACAAGCTTTAACAAGGCAGTCAATTCTTAGAACATCTTAAAATAGTGGTGACTAGCGGATGGAGTGCCTGTACACGGATGTGAGCAACAAAGAGCTCTCACGAACCGAATACACTGGAGCTCAGAATGGACCCAAAGTCAGCTAAAAACAAAGGTAACTCGATGTCGACACTTTTGAAAACGATAAAGTCCATGGCATCGAATTCAAGACTGCCCCATTTACTGCCACTTGGGCGTCATTCTTACAAACCTACGTGCACCGAGACAGACAACCTGATGGTGACGATGAACGAATTTTATCCCTTCAGGTAACCAGATATGTCAGGTCACCGAAAATGGCACCTGGAATCCTCGGACACCAGTGAGCCAGCTCACTAGTGATATCAATAGTCCGACGTTTCTTAACCAGCTTGCAACTCGAAACGGCAAACTTCTATCCTGCTTTGTGGCGGACTTCGGCGGCAAATTTGGCGTTTCAACTTGTTCAACGGTGGCAAAATGTCCCTGGTAGTTTTTCAAGCTAAGTCATAATCTTCGAATTAAGGACGATACTAGGACCGGATTATTTCTCATTGGTTAGAAGTGGCGATATCTCGCTTATTTTTTGGGTGGAATCCTGCCCTCAGGTCTCCTTATTGCACAGGGTTTGGTGAAATGAACCTCGATGAGCTTAACTACACGCGTGATTGGTCAAGGGGTCGGGCTCGTGCCCGATCCGGTATCATGAAGAAAGCTGAATGGTTAATTGATGGACCCAAAGACTAATCGCATTTCGGGCACCTGATGAGTACTAATTTCTGATGGCGCTCCAAGAGGGCGTTTAAATTTCCGTAAAACTGCCGCTTAACAAGCGATACACAGCTTATGTACTCGCGGACGTTCAATAACCTTGATGTGGCCTTGGTGGTTAAGTTGCTGGAAGAACAGGCAATGAGTTCAGCTGAGGAATTTACCTAATTTCGCCTATACAGGATGTGGCACGTTATGTATGTGCCAAACTGAGAGATTAGCGGGGGCTTTGAGGCTCACACGTAAGTTTGTTATGAGCGGAAGTTCCTTTGGCCTAACGCTACAAACTATACAAAATCCGACTAGTCCCATTCTTACGTGAAGTGGCAAAAACCTATTGGTGAATAGCGATGGTTACAATGTAGGCAAGAAAATCATGAAGACAACTAAGTGAGTAGTGGATCGATGAAAGGACGACAAACGGGTGGGGTGTAGGGGTGAGGAACAAGAAGGATTGCGATATAGATAGGCACAATCGACATAACATCGTGTATGTCTCGGTGTATGTGGGTTGGTGTGTGTACTTGTGGTGTGTGCGCACACAGAGACACAGGTAAAAGCAGTATTAGTACTATTAGTGTCAGTAATAGTCATGACATCTACAAATATACGAATCTGAACGACTACACAGAAAAAGGAACTGATGGACTTCCATCGAAGATCTCGGACGGGTATGTGCGTGTGTGTGCAAACGCGGAGCGCAACACGAATAACACAAGTTTGGTCACCGTCACCCGATCAGCAATGGAGCGGGACAGCCTTGACCAGTGTTTCAGTGTATCTTCTCCACGCCGGCCATAATGCTTTCCGATTCATACAGACTATCATGTTTGGCCATGATACGCATCAACGGACGAAGATTGAGCCACCACTCTTCACGTGGTAATCGGTGCCTGGGAAATAGGAGAAGGGTAAATAAAGACGTAGAATGCTGGACCAAGGGAATAAATCTTTCCCAAGACTGGTATGGGCAGTCAAAGGGGAGATGCGGCATTCGTTAGCGGAAATTGATTTTTCACCTTTCCCCTAAAAAGAGTTTTAGTTATCAGCGATACTTATCAAAAAGGGTGTCCTTGAGCAACAGAACAGAGCTCAGTCATAAAAACCAGTTATTACCCATGATTTTCATATTACTGTGTCTACGATGCTGACTGGATCCATAGTCTGTGGGAGAATACGCTTTGTAAGCTGGCCAAGTTACTGCATTTTCTGCTTTGCACTGCTGGTCCTCCGAAACTTGGTTTTGACAACTGTAGATGAGCGATGGTAAGTCCAAGTTATAGTTGTGGCCGAAAGATGTGATTGACAATATAAAAGGAATTAATTTTTCGGACATTGTTGCATTCTGGGAGGCTTTTTACTACGGGGTAACCCACAGTTCACAAAGAGCGTTTCATCCAGGGAGGTTACTTGAATGAGGTTTTGTGTCCAGCATCATACTGTGGATTCACCACAACTTTAACGTTCCAAGCGGAGAAGTCACTGATTAACGAGGAGACCCTCTGATCAGAAGCTACCTTCCTAGAATTCTCGTCAGCAATCTCACTACAGAGAGGTCATTTGCCGGTAGAAGCCAAACACTGCACTTTTATGTGATAGTACCTCCGGGGAGGAGTATTTCAATGAGACTGGTTTCAGTGCGAATTAAGTGCCGGTGTAATTAAATGAAAATGATGGAACCAGTAACACCTCATTGAACAATGCTCCTTGAGGTTTCGTACCTCTGTTGATGGGATATAAATAGGGTTCTGAACACACCGAGTGCAAGAAGCACCTTGGTGCCAACAAAACGACAGTGATACCATTCGTGAAGTGAGTTTTCATCCAGATTGATTTGCTGTTCTTTGAGTTGAACAAGAAGGCTTTGCACGATAGAGTAACACCCGATTTCTCCCGTCTCGTTTCGGCTAACATCGTGTTATTGACCGTCAGTAAAGAAGTCTTGTTGTTTCTAGGTTCAATGTTTAAATGATGGACGAAAATGGGACTGCCAATCAGGCAAATAGAAGTATGTGGTGTTATGTTTTGAGGGATGAAAGAAACAAAACTCTGACACGTGTGATGGGACAATTTACAGCAAACACAATGTGTTGCATTCGGGAAGACGGACAGTATTGGTGATGGAGAGGATGTAAAACCTTATCATTATAGTTCATGATGCCAATGGTTAAGTCAATGGCTAAGTCTGCTAGAAATGACTCAGGACCATTTCGCAGAGGTAGGATGCTTAACCATCTTAACAAGGCTAAGCTCAAACCACTTTCCCCCATTAGATTATCTGACTGACAGCTTGAAAGTACATCCGTACATCCCAGTTTCCTTCTTCATCCCATTTCAAAAGTACGCTTCTGTTGTATGGTGAGTGTCGACACTGTTGTTACTGTCGATGATGCACATCAGGAAACAAGTTCTAGAGAAAGCACACAGTGCAGAAACTGCTATAGACTAGGCGGTTTGTCCCCGGACACTACTAAAGTTAAAAATAAAAGCCGTATTAAGCGAAACGACTAGTGGGATAAGCGGGAGATGATACATTTAACACCATATTCTTTTAGAGTGACTGATGAACATCTTAAAGGCCTTTTCATAAAAACTACTCACAAGGTTGCTGAAAACTCTTCGACAGCTCACGACCGGTTTCCCCCTTCCGCTTGGGGCTCATCAGGTAGGCACAGTCCCCGAGTTTCCGTCAACCTTATATTCTATGTTCTTATTTACAGATCTTGCATCCCATGGTGGTTATGACGTCAACCAATGCCCTTTAAGACTTTGACGGAGGGACTTCATTCATACATTCAATGACTTACTTGAAATCTGTATGGTCACGTAGTTGTAATATCTCACTGAAGGTTGCATGCTGTCGAATAACGCCCAACAAGACGCATGAATTGGAATTTATCGCGCACACATTACCTGAGCACAAAATGAGAGGTGCACAAATAGGTTAAACGTAGACCTGGAATGTCATTTCTAGACGGAGGAAAGCGAATTCACTGTGGACTTGTTTACAATCAATTTCAGCAACATTCATGCGTCCCCAAACAGTCGATGGTATGACAAACGGCCGATGATGTGATGATATGAGGTTCGTTGAAACCAGCGCCCACAGCACTCTGTACGCCTAGAAGGAAGGATACCAAGGGAGACGGAATCCAGCTATTATTCGATGGGGTTTTGCCGGATAACGGATTTACGGCATAATTCCCGAATTTTTTGTCCTAAGGTGACTCGGAAATAACTCAAATGCGGATCGTAAAATTATGCATTCCTTCCCTTGCAATATGATGGCAGTTTTATCAACCATAGTAACCCTATTTTCTGTCCGTATGCAAAAATTCCAGGTTAAGCATAGAGTCACCTTGAAATCACATAGAACTGTATGGATGCGCCAAAGTGGAAACGCATACCAGTAGACTCAGAGGTGACAGGCAACGACCTCTGTTCCTGAGAGTTTATCACAAATCCACTAGCGAGGGCTGACAGAAAGCACAATGTTGCCAAAACGTCTGACTAAGGACATCAATTTGGTTTGCGTTTAGTCAACCAAATAATGCACCATGACCCAAGCGTTGCTATTGAATTTACTGAACTTGATCCAAGCCTCATAAAGAAGCCGGAAATCATGAATGCCATTTTACAGGCTAGTCCTTTCTGCGGGAGCTTGGACAAAAGCAATCAAAATCTACTACAATGAACGGTTTAGATTATGTAATACCTTCACGCAATCTAACAGCTCCGGCTTGAAGAACACTTGTACAACTCAAAGTCCGCAATCCGGCCAACTCCTCATCAGCATCTGAACTAACACGCGAAGTAAATGGCCTAAACAACGCAGCTTCTTCTGCTACACGCATTCTTCGACGAAAGCCTCGAAAACTCGCTATGGATTCGCCGACAACAACCCACAAGAGCTACGATTCTAAGACAACACCTGTCGAACATCTGGAGACGTTCCAGTTCCGCTGATCGAACAGGCCATACAACAAAACGGTCCGTTTTATAGCCTGATACATACGTCCGTTGAGATTCAGGGATATTTCGTTTTGACGCCATAGCTGACTCAAATTAGCAAATGTAATCCGAACCTTGCAGATCGGTGCATTGACCTCATCTGTCGTACTACAGTCAGAGCAAATACAATTTCCAAGATACGTACAATGATCCACAACTTCGAGCACCTCTCTCTGGATTGTGAGTGGTGTGTTTAGTGACTGCATGTCCACGAGCATGATCTTATACCTTACGGGTGCAGAGTGTATACCAAAAGACGGAATGATGTTGATCAGTTCATCCAAAAACACCTGTGGCTTCTCCTCTTCAAAGATGAGGACGATATCGTCAGCATATTCCTGATCGACAAGGTTTTCGACATAGGATATTTAAGCACCGCCGTTTTGAAAACCCAGTGTTCGTCTCACTATCTCGTCTAAATGGGAATTGTTGGAGTGGACACCTTTAAAGGACATCACTTTACGTACGGAGGTTTTTCGAGAGCTCTCCGTACAATCTCACCCCGCGTAAGTCTGAGAAAACAAAGAACTTATTGTGTTCACAAACTTCCGGTGCATTCTCTGGTGAGTGAGGGTAGTAAGGAGAACAGACCGGTCAACCGAGACCAGATGCACTAAAATTGTGGGTCGTTTATAGTTATGGCGTTGTTCTAGCACCTGAACTAGTGCAGAAACTTGGTGAACGCAACTCCTTCCAGGTCGGAAGTATGCTCACCGCTATCGAGGCAGAGTTTCACGAGCCACCATAAGGCGACGGATTAGTGAAATCAAGAGTCACAAGCTAATACCCTTATGGCTCCCGCACTCACTACAGTCTCCCTTTCCAAAATACAAGCAAACACTTCAGACAAGCACTAATGATCCACATCTGGAAAGTGGTCGCCCATCGCGGGCAATATTCCTGTCCGACCTGGATTTCGGACAACTTCTGAGCCTCACCATTTGATATAACACTAGCAAGCCGGATACTGTCACGAGGCGTGTATGGAGAAAAATACCATTCACGAATGCATGTGGGAGAAACCGATTGGATTGTGAAGGGATTGGTGTTAACTTACCGTCACCCGTGAGATTCGAAGCGATCTGTTCGTCCAACCAATCGATCGCCTTCGATCCTAGTTTTGTGCCCAAATTGCGATCGAAAGGCGAAGGCTCGTGACCCTGTTGCATGTGACCAAGGACATTACACCTGGAGAGTTGACAAGAATAAAGAGGACGGAAGGACAAGTATAATTTCAGGGCTGAAAGTGAGTGATTATTTACGGCTAGAAGACCAGTAGGTAACTCCCAAGGTGCAGAAGAGTGGTTGGACTGAAGCACAAAACAGTTCATGAATAGACGTGCTGGCAATAGGTGCATGAGCCAAGGTGAAGAAAAAGTGACTGAGCGAAAACCGTGCTTTCAGAAAGCTGTGCGCAATGAATAGGATAGGTTCGCGAAATTTGAATGTAGTGTTTTCCCCATAGGGGAAAGGGGCAACAGATATATCACACCTGTGACCTCCTTACGATTCGAGTAGAGCTATCAGCGAACTTTGGCTAAAGATGCGTAGAAGTTTCCCAAAAGACTGATACCTTACTCAGTCAGAAGTGCCTCGAAAATGGGATTTAATGATGGAGATGATCGTAATATGAACGCATTGGAAGATCGCTGCGGTCATTTTAACAGTGAACACATTCACAGGACAATCTCGAGCACCTCAAAAGCCCTTCGACTGAAATTTCCTGGGAGTCTGAGCTTCAGGACACCTACTTCAGTTACGGTCCACGACTAGTCATCAGCCGAAAAGTCACAAGGGAGTGTATCCAGTTACGAAAAGGAATCTGTCTCGTACCATCGGTTGGAACTAGTGTGGGACGTGTACATGCTTCGTAGCTGATGATGACGATTGTGGCTACCCGGCCGTTCATCAGACCCAATCGAAGGGGTACCTTCTGGAGGGAGGTCTTACAATTTAGGAATCATCACAACTCTTTTGGACATTGGGATGATTCCCAAATTGTAAGACCCCCCTTTCAAAAGGCACTCCTTTGATGGAAAAACCAACTATCCACTCCTCTCAGAGCGATGCTGTTTTAATGCTTGAGCGACTGTTTTCATTGACTCAGCAGCAGCACGAACCCGACAGTTGCAGTTTTCATACTCTCACCTGGCGCGGCTTGACATGACACAGCTAACAATAACGACTGCCGTTAACAGGGTCCCCCTAGAACCTACTGCTCATGACATATTAGGTAAGATGCAATGCACAATCAAGTATCAGACCAACAATTACTTCTTAGGCCTACGACAGCTTGGATTACATAGTCAAACGGTCGAGCGATCACGAAGTTGATGTGTTTCAAACGGAAAATGATGGTAAAGTGAAGTTGGCGATTCGAAAACACTCATTTGCCTGCGAGTTTGGTTTTGCCAGGGGGCTCAAATGAATCCAGTTAAATCATTCGTTTGTCATGGTCCGTTTAAACTGAATGTGCTGCAACAGGCCATCCCATGTTTCAATAGGTGCGATATTCGGGATATCGCTTCGATTTTTGGTCTAGCCTTTCTGATAACTGTTTGTTTAGTTGGCCCGTCGTTCTTCTGAGCCATCGTAGCTAGCTGACAGCCAAGTCAAGAGTACGAGTCGAATACTGTTTTAACTGATTTTTTTTACCTGGGCTGCCGAAAGGTATTCAACAACCTTATGAGTGGTATGACCCGTCAAGAAAAAATAATACATCTCAAATATCGTACTAATTGGAACATGAAGCTGGCAGTGTGAAGTGCAGAAATAGCACAAGCGTAGAATTCATCCGGGACTCAGTAGAATCTCCCGTTCGAACTAAATTAGTTTACAAATACGTGAAATTTTCAAATAAACCTCATGTTTATACCGCTGAGCGATGAGGTTTGTCGTCACCCTCAGTTGGTGAGTTCGTCCAAATAAGAGACGTTCCCTCTGGAATTTGAAGAATGCATCGACTCAAAATCAGTCACTTCATAGTTTCGACCAAAAGGGGCCCTGACCAGTTCTGAGATTAGAAGGACGTGTAGGATTTGGATTAGCGTATAGGGGAAAATACAGATTTTAGACGCTGAAGTGCCATTGCACAAAGTTATTCTATTGCGGGTGGGAAGGTTTTACCAGAACTCAGTTAAAAGCTCGGAAATTGGTTTGCATTTACAAAGCCGGTGCAGTACATTCATCTATAACCGGGATACGTAATAAGAGGTCAAATTACATAACTTACTGCGTGCGTTATCGACTAGATGTTATTGGCAAACATTATATCAAAAGCAACTCGTGTTGACCTGAGTTCTGCTGGTCCACTGACTGAAATGAACATACCACCATAGTCGAAAGTACTTAAGTGAATATCTCCTGTAGACGTGTGGAGGTTTACGAGGAGCTCTCGCCTGAGTTCGCTACATTAATTCGTATCAGGCAAGATTGTCCTCGCTTGCATTTCATCATCAACTCCATCATCGATATAATTATGGAAGACTAGCCACCAGCCGCTTATACTTGTGGAGTCAATATGCCCGCAGGGCATTCACTTACAGATATCAAACACGCGGACGACATAGCTCTTCTCGGGTCTGACACCACTTAACCCAAACAAGGCCAAATAATCACAGCATGACATGTACTTCACAACTTCAAACTGTAAATTGGTACCTGAAGACTGCGTGGGCTAAAACCCTAACTTTATGCTTGCGGGTCGGCAGATTGAGTTAGTAGACAAATTTGTCCACTCGGACAGATATATCAGTCCCGGTGGTCTAGCGAAAGATGATATTTTCATCCGGAATGGGAAGGCCAAAGCAGGTTTCGTGAATCTGCGTCACCTGCGGCGTAGGCGTGGCATCAGCTTATCAACTAAGTGCCGGGTTTACAATACTGCGGTGCGGTCAGAAACCTGGTCATTGCGCACCGTGGACGTCAAAAGACTTTCAGTGTCTGACATTCGATGTCTTCGGAGCACTGATTGCTTCTGGTGGGAACATGGGATCAGTATTGTTGAAATACGTCAAATTTTTTTCGGAAGAAATAACTCCCCTTGATAGACAGATTGAACACACCCCATAGATTGCGCTGGCTTGATCACGTGCTTTGTATACCAGTCGACCGACTTCCTCGAAGGGTCCGTTTTGCACAACCACGTGAAGGGCGGAAACAAAACACAACGGAGTATGAAACCCATTACAATAAAACTCAGCTGCGCTGGTCATTGGCGTACCCTTGGATGGAGACTCCGGGGAGGGACAAAGCAATGGTTAGAGACATTGTCAGACATGGCCAAATCACGCCTTCATTGGCGAGCTGTTTTCTTCAATGCATAACTCCCCTCCAGATCTTCCCAACATAAAGTCCACTAACATTACTGTAATTACGCACAGATTGTCACCTACCACTTTTAATGCATAGCTATCTGCCCCACCTCCTCAAATCCTCAGCGAATGAAACTGTAGCAGCTAGATCCACTGTGTGGTAAGTACGCGGTTCTCACAACTGACGATGATGTTGATGATAGCAACTCAAGGACGAATGCATCGGGCATATAAAACACGCTCAGATAACCAACAAAACAAATGCACATAATCAGTCAAAGAAACACGTAGGAAACCTACCGGCAGTCAAAAATTCCCTTGCCTTCCTCAGCGTACAGCCTATAGATGAAATCGCTCGTATAATTTTTGTTAGCGAACTCAGCGCGCAAAATCAGACCACGTTGCACATTGTCGGCAATCTTAGCCCGCAAGTGGACGACATCCTGACGCAAGTCATCGATGGTGAACTCCTCCTCAAATATATAGGCTGCATCAGCACCGCCGGCAAGGCCGCTTAGGGTAGCCAGATAACCACAGTATCCGCCCATGGTCTCGACAACGAAGACACGGCGTTTCGTGCCCATAGCACTTTGTTTGATTTTGTCAAGAATCTGAACGAGAAAATATGAAGTAAATAAACAAGATGGAAGTCATACAAAAAACGCCGGATGGATGACCTTCCCCTTAATCAAGACATAGCAGAAGATCAAATCGGCTCATGCAGAATAAAAAAACATTGATTTTAGTAAAGTGACCGTCCGGAATTTTGTGATTAACTGCAACTACTGGTTCAACAAACAACAGAAGTTCACTACATGGAACGGGTTTAACCTTCCTGTTGGGCAACAGTGCAACACAAGCTGCTAGGTGAACAACGATGTTTTTTCCTGTTCATTCCATCTATAGCAAAAAAACTGAAACACGGGATCGCCACGGTCAACGTAAACGCTGCTACTTGTACGTAGCTATGTGGAACATCATTTCACTGCATTTCTCTGTTAACCTTCAAGTACCATGTACCGGTTTTGACTGAAACAGAAATGTATGACGCAGTTATTCCGTCACTTCTCTTCTCAAAACCCCGATCTTCTGTTACTGTTGTAATAAGTGGATCCCTTTGGGTCAGATCTGGTGTGACTAGGTGTTGAACAAAGCAGAACCGATGTTAGTCAGTGATTCAAGACGTGTGGGTTTAGCCTGCAACTTACGCAGCACTTTCCATCGGTTTTGGTTCAATTGCAACTAGGATTAGCGTCCAAGCCGTGGGGTAAGTTGGTAGCCCGTTGCTTACGTCATATGAAACCTGCACGGACTGATAGGGACTAAGTTTAGGCGGGCGAAGTATAAACGCCACGTGATGCCTAGCTTCCCAGCCATTGCGTGTTTTTTGAGATATGCACAGGCTTTAACTACTCCTGTTCTCCAGGTGATCATACGCTGTCACACAAAGTTTACTGTCGCTTATTGTGAACCGAAAGCGGACGGAACTAATCAGGGAGAGGATAGTTTTGGTTTTTTTAGTAAGTAGACTTTTCATTTGGAGGAGGGAAGGATCTGAAACTTCTGCAAAAATGTTCAAAGTTATCGGTTGCTCGCTATAAACAGTGTTGTTTACGCCCATTACGAACACTCGCTCCTATTGCACAATATCATAATCCGAAAACAAGCAAAAAAACTGAAACACGGGATCGCCACGGTCAACGTAAACGCTGCTACTTGTACGTAGCTATGTGGAACATCATTTCACTGCATTTCTCTGTTAACCTTCAAGTACCATGTACCGGTTTTGACTGAAACAGAAATGTATGACGCAGTTATTCCGTCACTTCTCTTCTCAAAACCCCGATCTTCTGTTACTGTTGTAATAAGTGGATCCCTTTGGGTCAGATCTGGTGTGACTAGGTGTTGAACAAAGCAGAACCGATGTTAGTCAGTGATTCAAGACGTGTGGGTTTAGCCTGCAACTTACGCAGCACTTTCCATCGGTTTTGGTTCAATTGCAACTAGGATTAGCGTCCAAGCCGTGGGGTAAGTTGGTAGCCCGTTGCTTACGTCATATGAAACCTGCACGGACTGATAGGGACTAAGTTTAGGCGGGCGAAGTATAAACGCCACGTGATGCCTAGCTTCCCAGCCATTGCGTGTTTTTTGAGATATGCACAGGCTTTAACTACTCCTGTTCTCCAGGTGATCATACGCTGTCACACAAAGTTTACTGTCGCTTATTGTGAACCGAAAGCGGACGGAACTAATCAGGGAGAGGATAGTTTTGGTTTTTTTAGTAAGTAGACTTTTCATTTGGAGGAGGGAAGGATCTGAAACTTCTGCAAAAATGTTCAAAGTTATCGGTTGCTCGCTATAAACAGTGTTGTTTACGCCCATTACGAACACTCGCTCCTATTGCACAATATCATAATCCGAAAACAACTTGGCCTATTCGAGCAGCGGAAGTGAGACATCTTCAGGTGTTCGACAATCTTTTCTCAGAACCATAGCTCGTGTGGGTTGATGTCGACGAATCCGTAACGAGGCAGTTAAAAAGCGCGTTTTCGGTTGTGCGACGGGTACTTCCATTGAAGAATGTATCCAGCACCAGAAGCTGCGTTGGTTGGGACATGTGCTGCGTAAGCCGAACCATCGTTTACCGAAGAGAGTGCTGTTTTCCATGCCTAATTCAGAGTGGCGTAAACAGAGAGGTAGCCAACCCTTGACTTGGCAGAGGAGTATGAGGGAGATCACGAAACGCTTGGGTGCTTTCGTTGCCACTCGCCTTCCAGGATGGGGACCGCGTGATCCTCACTGTGCCTGGTTGGAGACACTAAAAGATATGGCTGCCAGACGATGACAGTGGTGTTCTTGTTGTCAGATTCTATCCAGATCGCCTGAGTGAGTGTCTGGAGGTGTAGGCACCTCGGAGTAATTGTGGTAAGCTGGCACTAAGTCCGTTCCCCGTCCATCTTAACTCTTTTCTTTACGATCAGGCTTTCAAATAAATTATGGTTGTACGGCAGTGAAGCATCGGTGTTGAACGCTGATGTCATGCTGTCGATGATGATGATGATTTCCGATCACTTATGCCCCCCATTTTTAAGGTAGGTTAATCCCCCAAGCAAAATCATTAACAGTAAAGGGGACGAATGATATCTCATCGGAGGGGCTTTACATTAAGCCCTAGTAAAGGATGAACGCTGTTATGAGCTCTTCCCTCCTGTCCTAAGGTGCGCAGTTTCACGGATGATACGAGAATGTTGGACTTAGATTTAAGGTGAGGAAATGTGGTGGCCAACTACGCGACTTACCACAGTGATCTCGTTCAATGCTGTATCGCTACCAAGGGAGAAATCGGTACCGGGCACGTTGTTAGAGATGGTGGCGGGGATCATGACCATCGGGATGCACAATTCTGGGTAGAGGTCACGTGCAGATGCCAGTTCAATCATACACTCGTAGGCTTCGAAACCACCAATGACCAATAGTCCATTCAATCGGTGTTCTTTGATCTTTTCAGCAACAGTAGGTAGTCCTAATTCGCTTGGTTTGTCCCTAAAGAATTGGGAATCATGAAGGAAGCTCGGTAACAATGCAGCGTGAAAGGTGTCATGGAAGAAGCTTGAGGCAATCTTGAGTTGAGTTAGGGCCTGAGATGTTCAGTAATCCGATTGCGTAAGAATGCCTACCAGGGTCAAAACATTAAAAAGAACTTGGAAACTTTTTACACGATGGTTTGAACAATCAGGACCGCCAAGATGAAAAAAAGCAACTTACCGGCGCGTGCCTAGAGCAGAACCGCCCATGCTAACCCATCCACGAACAGTGTTCCAGTGAATCTCGCTCACAGCACCATGAACCAATCCCAGGAAGCCTTCGTGAATACCAAGCACCGCGTACCCTTTGGTGATGGCTAATCTAGCAAAACTACGCATGGCAGCGTTCACACCACAAGCAGGAGCTCCCACGTTTAGGATGCCGAGTCGCATATTATTCTGAAACGTCGGGGTAAAAGGGAGGAGAATGTTCCGGTTTGGAAAATATTGAAATGAAGATCTTTTGTAAGACAGCAGCGGCAAAGGATAATGACAATGACACGAGCCAGACAGTCAGAGTTGCAAAACAAACTGGCGTGAACTACTTAAACAGTTTATGTGAAGCGCGGTGGTCTCGCCTAGTAATCACATACTTTCTCTTAACTGAGGACTGCTCTCCCGGAAAGGGTCATGACAGCGTTAATCTTCGGGTACGACTCCTACCTCCATAAAAAGATCTAATACATCCTTGCCTAAGGATGATCTTGCTGTGGGTAGAATGTGCAGAATGTTCCCTGTAAACAGTTGGGTAGCTGAAGGCCGAATTCCTCAAAACTGAAGGCTCATGGTGGCGTTTCATTACTTGCACAGTCGGACAATAGTTCAATCCCTTCAGTGCTTCTTACAAATTTTGCGACTGCTGTGCGCCAAAACAGTTCACCCGAATTAGCCAATATGAAAATTAAATAACCAGCGTACAGATGCAACATATTCAAGTTGATTGAAAGGGGGTTTTCGAGTCTAGCAGAACAAGGACCAAGGTAAACAATGAAATAGTCTGGCTAACAGAATTTTGGTGACCCGAACAACATAGGCGTAGTACACTATAGCTAGTAACATTGTCACTAGTTAACGTAAACAACGCTGTGAACTCATTGGGTCCAGTGCGATATCTGACTACACAACGCGGTACTGAAAAGAAACCGGTGTACAGTAGTGATAAACATATTTTCGTTTCTTACAATCTCGTTGAGGGATTCTAAGAAGGACGGCGATACAAAGTTTGAGAGTGACTAGTCGAACCCATCTTCCTATGTGTGACCTCCCAGACAGAACGTAGATTGGTTGACAGCCAATCAGACTGTCCGTGAGTAGTTTCGGGGTTCCATCGGATTTGTGTCCATCTTGCTCGGCGCAATCCACTTGATGGTTTGGATTAGTCTGCACTCAAGCTATGCTCTTATTAGAACACCAGCCTCCTAGTGTTCGGCCGCATTGATGTTTGAACTCCTAGTGCCTCGTGTGCGAACCGGTTTCCTTGCCATCACTCTGTCTGCTCATTCGTGTCCGGACAGGCGAACGGGGCGATGTGTCCACGGGATTCTGGGGATTCGCAGTCATATCCCTCTTATTGGAGCAGTGATATGCCCATGTGGTTTGACCCTGACGGTGACTCCGTAATTGACATGTATGTGTTTGGCGATTACATTTTGTGAAGAACCCCAGAGCAGGTCGCATTGCGGATACCTGGGGCATCTTGAGCAATCTCATATTGACAACAATTAAATGCAGATTTTATTGAATTTGCATCCACATCATTCCAGCACATTCCTGGCGTCTGTGATACTGCCTGGTGGGAAGACCTCATAGGCCAATAACCAATAGATACGACTAAGTCAACAACTGAGTCAATAATATGTTGCTCGTTCGGGCTTTCGTCATACGCTAATGATTCCATCGGTGATGATGCTCGGAGATGGAACCAGCACGGAAAAGGATAACTACTGCTGGCTAGTTCCAGTAAGGGTGGAGCTTGAATCTGGTGCTTTACCTTCCGCGCATCAAGAGGGAATGATATGAACGCAGATACAAAAAAACCGTTACCAAACTACGAGTAACCCTGTCTTGGTTACAATCATACAGCGTGCTAGGCACAAACAGGGGGACGCAACAACTAACGTCATACTGTCGCTTGTGCGTGAATGAAAAAAGATGTAATTTGCAAAAATGGGAATATGGTGATAAAGTTTTGAGAATCGTCAAAACGGAGAGTTTTCTAGACCATCAATATGCGAAACAGGGAAGTTTATTCTTCAGTACATTAAGGGGTCACGAGTAATCGAGGTGAATAAACGACACTGTTATGCTAACGACTTACCATTTGGCTCTTTCTTGGGCGTTTTAGCTTGGATAGCTTTAGGTACGTCCACAGATTGCCCATAAAACTCCTATAGAAAAGTGAAAAAATAATGATAACTCAATAAAATGAGGCCATTGGAAACTTGAATAAAGAGCAAAGCGTGCCCTTTTAGTAGAATTCTCCTGACAATGAAAATGGGAAAGCCTCTATAACAAGTCCACACATTTTTCGAACCATGAATGAGAGCATAGGAAAGGACGCGATTGATAAATGACTGGTGATTTACATCCAACTTAGATGTGCTAGTCACTAGATTTAGTAACTACCAGAGTCGTGAAGTTCGGCCCTTCATTCAGGTAACAGCCCAGAATCACATACCTTTTTCGTTGGAACAATGCTTTTCAAAGCATCTCTCTGCTGTTTCTCCGCGTTTCTCAGGTACCCCGTAAAACGGCGGCCTATGGATATTCTATTCACCGGTTTCGATGCACTTTTTACGACCAGTGACTGACGAATAATGAATGATGATCCTATTACTTTTCAGTCAGTGTAAGTCAACCACCACATTGTACTTTGTTAATCAGAATGACAAATGGGTCTAAACTAGTTTATCAGATATAAGTAACAGGCGTCGGTATGAAATGGATGCCATTTGAATGAAAACTTACGGTCCTCGTAGTTGTACTGCTCGATCAAAGTCTTTTTCCTTTAAAGCGGTTGCAACCATTCGAGTCTGGAACATTAATCAAGAGACAACGGGTTGACCATCTGGACAACAAATGTACATATAGAATACGACTAAGTCCTTGGGAATGATGATTCACTAACCTTTTCTACACACCGCATAAGTGGAACGCGTACTGCCTGATTTCCATCCAAACTGATCACACAAGCAGGAAGTTCATGATCCCGATCAGCGTCCATAAGAGCCAACACGGCTTCTGCGCCCATTCGGCTCCCCAGGATTCGATCGAATGCTGACGGACGACCGCCTCGTTGTACGTGACCCAGCACAGTGATTCGTGTGTCGAAACCTAGCTCTGAGACAATGAGCTTGCGCACTTCTTCACACGTGATGGGATTGCACTGCCGATCGATGGCGCCTTCGGCAACCATGATAATGTTCACACGCTGACCGAGATCACGGTTCTGAAACACGATGAAAGGATAGTGGTAAACCCAATTTGAACTCATTATTGTTACGCCGATGAAATGAGTCTGGACGATCCCTCCACTGAGTCAGTAGTATTAACAGGAACAGATCAATAGAGCCAGCCCTTAAGGTGAACCCACCTCTCTATAGAGTCCATCATCATCACCGACAGCATGACATCAGTATTTAATACTGATGCTTTGCTGCCGTAACAAAGAGACTGGACCTAACCGTGGTGCGACGGTTTGTGTACCTTTGTGATTCATTGAGCTATACTGAAGGGTGTCCGTGTGACACTCGCAGTGACTGTCATACGAGGTTGGTCAATGGTTAGAGGTCTGACGAACACAGTCTGCTAGCCCTCCAGGTTGGTGTGTCTTGTTCTGCGAAAAATTGAAATGTACTTGCATTTCCCGCCAAACACTGCTGTCCTGTAGTCAGGCTTTTGAGTCAGTGGTTGAGAACCCTAGTCGTCCTCCTGTCTAGGTCTGGGTGCTCTGGTAATATCCGAGCCCATGTGCACGAACTGTACACTGTAGAGCATATACCAACATTCTGTGTTAACTATAACGTTGTTTGTTACTTGCCTGAATAAAAGCCGAAAAGCCCAGTGGTGGACTGTCTCAGGAGACATTTTCATGTTTGGACTCTCCTGGAGATCGACCCCTTTTGTGAGGGTAGTGGACACTCTGTGTCGTGGCCGAGGTGCCCGTTATAAGCTCTCTCGAGCAGTGATCGCACATTGAAGAGTTTTTCTCGAGAATTGCTTCCCACGGAAGGTCCAAATATTTGGAGGAAGTAAAGAGTTTTTTGGGGCAGGGCTGCCACAAGACGACCTTATCGATTCGGAAGAAACAGGTAAGTGAAGCGAACAAACTGCGAAAACACGACGATGAGAATAACTCACCAGTCGAAGTTTGCCACACATTTTCTCTTTCCAATCATCGGCTGGGGGTAACTCAGGAATGAAAACCCAGTCAGCTTCGCATGCCATCGAAGCAACCAAGGCCAGGTAACCGCAATGTCGTCCCATCACTTCGAGGATGAAGCAACGTTGATGAGAGGAGGCGGTGGTGCAGATGGCATCAGTAGCTTCGATAATCCGATGCAGCGCAGAGTCGGCACCGATTGTCATGTCAGTACCACAGAAATCGTTGTCAATACTGCCCACGAGGCCGACTATATTCAGATGGCTACACTCGGTGGCTTGTTCCTGGTTGATCAGATCTTTCGGTAAACAGAAGAGAGAAAAGTAATTTAAGTGTCTCTAGCATTGTCATTATGGTATAAAGTTACGACGACAGGATATTGTATTCAACGTTATGGTAAACGGCCTGCTATAGTGCATAAAGCGGCCAGCATGTGGAGAAGAGAGTACTCTGACGTCATAAACCATATGGTGGAAAACGGCTACCTACAAGTTATTTGCGGAATAAAGGGCATTTCATTCAGTTGGCCAACACATTGCTCAACCGTTTCGTTTTTCGTGAGACGAGGAAAGGAGGGCAGCAGAGAGATGCTTTGAAAAGCATTGTTCCAACGAAAAGACTAAAACTGACTGCTAGATTCGGCAAGAATGGGCCTAAGAATCCTTGAGTTTTCAGTCTACTTGTCAGGCCGCATTGCTAAACTCAGCGAGCAGATCAACCACCAACGAGTGCACCCGAGCTACCAATATTCCAGCAATACCAATGTTCTGATTACAGATAATTATCATTAGCGATACAAATAGTTCGAATTAAAATGAAGTGAACTGTATACACAGGGGAAGTGAATCCTTTTGGAGCACATAATATGTATGTATGTTGCAGCTTAATTGAAGACCGACTGTCTATGAGCCGAATCGTTTTTTATCTGTGTGCTAAGATTTGTGGATGATGGTAGATGGTGCAAACCTGAGGTGCAAGCGGTTGAGGAGATACATTTCCTTTGGATTTCAAGTTGAATCATCATCATCATCATCACCATCATTGTCAGCTGTAATAACCGCGTACTTGTCGTACAGTGGTTGTAGCTGCCGCAATTTCGTTCACCGATGGTTTGGGGGGGGAGAGGTAGATAGCTGCGCATTGCAGGTGGGAGCTGATAAATTGGTGCGTAAATCCAGCACTGTCAGTGGGCTGTCAAGTGTGGGGGGGTTGGAAAAGGAACTATGCATTGAAGGCAATAGTTTGGATGCACGAGCGCCATTGAGGGCGCGACTGGGCCATATCTGACAATGTCTCTAGCCATTGGTGTGGCCCGTCTCGGGGTCCCCATCCAGGAAGATGGCAGTGACCAGCGCAGCTGAGTTTGCTGGTAATGGCTTTCACACTTCGCTGCCGAGTCATTGTTTGACCGCCTCTGGCTCTCTTCCACCCTTCACGTGGTTGTGCGAAAAGAGCCTTTCGAGAAAGTCGGTCGACTGGCATACGCAGCACGTGGCCAAGCCAGCGCAACCTATGCAGTGTGATCAGTTCATCTATCGAGGAAACTTTAGCACATATCATCATCAAACATACACCCTCTGAACAACTTGGCAGTCTTTGGCTGCAGAGAGATTCTCAACAAGTTCGGAGTTGCTTCACTCACTGATGATTCTGCATTCAAATGCACCTATGTGAAGGCACGTCTTGGTGTGTAGGTGAGTCTACCAATCTGGTTGAATAATATCTGTACCGGGATATCTACCTCGATCCGGACAAAGATGAGAGGACGTAGAAGTCTGAGTGTAGGAAAGCCTGTCTTTTTTTGCTTCAGCATGTTTCGAGGCGTTTTTTTTAAAACGTCCTTCGTATGTAATTTATTATAATAAAGCCCTGGTGAGGAAATTGTATTCACTACCTTCTACCATAGTAAAGGAGGAAAGGCAGCTGTCGGGCGCTACAAACTGAAGATCTAGAGGAGCTGGATAAACTCTGATTCCGAACCAACAACAGTGAGAACGGCTCCGATGTATTGCGCAGATATGACTGTCTTCTTAATCCGACGACTATGACGGCGTTACCGATCACCTGTACTCTGCATGCTTCCCACTGTCTTAAAGGCTACACTTCGTTGTGCAAAAGTTGGAGGTGTACCCCGACCAAAAGCCGGGTGGCGCTGATGCGAGCCGCAGTGATACTTCCCTTATTGCTACGGCGTTCCCGGAAAGCGACAATTGCTCTGCAGGACCAGTGATTGGGGTGACCGGAGAGTAATCCGAGGTTCAAAATATAAGAGAGCTTTCCAGTAATTATTGGAGTATTTGTACCTAATTGACTGTTCCAGCTGCGCATGCATGCGCAATCGACCAAACGTCAAGTGTCTGTTGGAGACCCAGTTCTCGGACTCTGTTAAATGACTAATACTGGTTCCTGGCCTTAGTAGAGAGGACCAGCGGACAACTCGGGCGCCTGCGATTGCCGTAAGCAGTCGAAACGACAATGCACCCACTGTCTAGAATCTAGTACCTTCAAGACTTGTGGTGGTTCGTTTCGAAGAAATCCTCTTGAACTTGACTTCAATGTCTATCTACGTCCCTCGCTTTGCGGATGCGGATGAGCAACTGCAACAGATGACCAACAAGATATCATGAGGGGACTTCTTGAAGGTAGCGGGAAACTAAAAGCGCTCCAGTTGGTGAACGGACGATAAGAAGCAACATACACCTGGCCGGTTTCGGTTGGGTCAGCGCTGTGAAAATGGTGACAAGTTCATCAACTTCGCCTCCCATAAGCAGCTTGCTCTTATCAACACCCCTCTCCATCATCCCAGAAGACATTTACGGATAGGGTGCGCGAAAGATGGGCCTCATCAACTGAGGATTGTGGACCTTATAGAGGGGCGGGTTCTGTAAACGCAGGAGACACGAATCACACGATGGTGCGAATCAGGATTAAAAGTAGGATTGGAAGAAACCAGGATACCACAGAGTTCAAAATAGGGTCTGATATATGAGAACAATGCTCACCCTCGCCAATGTTGTTTGAGTTCGAAATCGGTTAGTCGCTTGAACGGGCATTGGAGGGACACTGTGACGTCCAGTTATTCTATTAAACCTGAATAGCTAACTTGGCATATCACGCAGTGGGGGATAACCTGAGAAGGCTTCAACGCGTTCTGAATAATCTAGCTGTATACACACAACACTCGTAGGGTTGAAAATCAACACGCTGAGGACCAAGTTCTCCTCCACTTGTATAGACATGCCTATGCAGCTTCTCAGCAAAAAGAATGAGAGGACTCAGAAGGTTACAGACTCTAACTATTTTGGTTCCACAGCCCCAAGTAACAGACAGGTAAGGTAGAAATTCGACGGCAAACAGACATTACCCGCTAAAGCTTTGTGAAGCTGAACTCAATTCTGTAAAAGGAACGGTCCTGATTTATGCCCGCGAAATCTGGAGGGTTTTGTCCATTCGTGTCCCTGACACATGGTAAAGGTTCGCTATCTATCTACCACTTATGAAATATGAATACGATAGCGTGGCTAACTACACCAATCTTCACTAATTAAACGACGGCGTTTGCAAAAAATTGGATATCTGTTGCACAAAAACCGCGCCAAAATCTTGACCCCTGAACTATGTCAAGGACAACGTTGTCAACAAGGAGGACAACCCAAAATATGGCTGAGTACGATCGGTGACGGTAAGGAATAGCTCAGTTTCCATGTGGTCTAAGGGTCCCCCACTCCTGGATCAAGGTTTGGGAAGATCTGTCAGCGGGTCGCGTGCCTAGGCAGGGTGTAACCGAGACATTTCCGCAGCTGACTAGTCCTGTCGTCGATGTTTTTTCGGAAGTAGACGTAGCAAGTGAAGACACCTTCTGCTATACCAGCCCATGCCAGATACGTTCTAAACCAAAGTGGTCAACAACCTTTCAGATTACGATAAGGCAGAGAAACCATGAAACTGAAAAAAATTCAATGAGATTTTTCTATGGCAGTGTGGATCACGAGGCCAAGGTACATGAATCGGTCAGCGTACCGACAGTATGGTCCCGAACCGTGCAGAAATTTCATGACGAATAAGTTGTCAAGCTCGGCAAAAAATGAGTAACTAACAAATATAAGCAAGCTCTTGGTATTTCGACGAATTGTCAAACGTCTCCTCGTCACGCGGCGATTCTTGTTCGCTCAGTGGCTTTATTTCTACAGGCAACTGACCACAAACACCCAAGTGAATAAAGACCGAATGCAACACCAGTGTCTTCTTGATGTCAGTAACTAAAACCGTTATTACTACTCTGTAACGAGCGAATAGAAATATTATGTTTATAGTAATTATGCTTCAAAAAAATCAGAACTGACCAAAAAGTATCACTTCGCCATAAAGTAAAGCAAGCATTCGAGATTGTGAGAATGGTCTTGATCTGTTTGAATTTAAAAAAGCATTTAGTTCACTCCAATTGGGCCTGTGATACTGTATAATATGGTGTCATCAAGGAAGGTGAATCGTGTAAACTCTAGGTCACCCAAGAGATAAACACAGAGAGCGAAGACAAACAAATAAATGGTTTGGAAAACGTGCGTGAGATATGAAACAACACAGATCAAATCATCTTCTCCGCTTCACCTGAATGTTTGTCAATTCGGAGTGGCGTCTGAAATAATTCCAATCAGGACCATAAAGCACCACGCCACATATCTGTCGGATGTAGTTGGACACATCTTGTCAGCATGTGCGACCAACTAACACGTGGTTCAACTGGAATAAGATATTCGTGCGTCCAGTTTACCAAGTCACTCTGAAGTGAAGCTTGTTTCAGGTGGCAGTATTATCATCGACAACATAACATCACTGTTCAACACTGATGCTTCGCTGCCGTAAAACCATGATTCATTGTGAAGAAAAGAATAAAAATGGACCGGAAAGGAACTTAATGCTAGCCCAATAAAATCATTCCAAGGTACCTACACCTCCAGAAACTCATTCATGGAATCTGGATAGAAACCGACAATAGTAACGCCATTGACTTCGATTAGCAGCCATATCTTGTAGCGCCTCTAACCTTAAGCAGTGGAGATCATGTGATTTCCATCCTGGAAGGCGTGTCACGCCGAAAGCACCCGCTTTCATACCACTCTGCTAGATCAAGGGTTGGTGTAGATAAGCAGACAAGCCTCAAGATGCTACGCTTTATCCCCCAAAAAAAAGATTTTTGGCATCAAAATGACATGTATATTATACCGAAAACAAGTTTGGTACCTAAACCATTCTATCCGCTGGTCTACAATGCACTATTCCCGGAACTAGTTTATAGCGCTTCCGTTTCGCATTATGACGAGCCTCCCAGGTGAGTTGACAATGTGAAAGCCCACCTGTCAGGCTTCAACAGATGGCTGCTTTCCAGTGAGTATCACAAATGGAAAATGATATTAATGGACGTCAGACTGTTAGTTTTCCACCAGATAGTTAATTCAATACCACCAGATGGCAGCTCCTAGATTGTATTGCTTTGTAGGAGTGTACTGTTCTACTGCAGTTCAGGGGCATGATGAACGAAGCAAACGCCTCGATGGTGGTAGATGAAAGCACATTGACATGCTGTTGTTTGATATCTGAACGCTTGCATTCCCCAGATGTGTCTTGTCAAATGCGAGGGATTACTAACTGTATGCAAACATTTGGTGCCCCAGACCCGGTGGATACGATGGATGGAAGCAAATAAGTTTGAGATTTCAGACTGATACGGAAATCAGTGCATTTCGCAAGCAACTTTCGTTCAAGTAGAAAATAAAATCGACAAAAACTCAGAGACTACGACAATCTGATGTGCCCCAAGAAGCGTAAAACCGGTTGTGATGTGTTGAACAGTTTTCAGAAAAATTGTGAGTAGTTTTTTTTGGAGTTTCAACGTTTTATATTAGTAATTGCCAGGTGGATTCCACTAGTGTATTTCACCGTTTAGGGGAAAATATGCTCGCTGGATGGTGGCGACTTTGCTTGCTTCCAGAATGATCTGCCTTGCGAATCATTTGGACGATGGAGAACATCTACTTAAATGTTCAATTCAAAGGCAATCACACGAACTACATTATCCCAAAAAAGCTAACTTCAGTCTTTCAGCGAGTCCACACAACAGCCCAGCTACGTTTCATACTGTGAGTCACAGGAATGGTTCCCCTAAAACGAGAGTATATGTTAGTGTGATGGAACGAACGGATGCTGGAAACACATCGATAGTCTGACTGGTTTAACCAGTCTTGGAAACCACCAGGTAGACGCAGTTCCCCGATTCCTGTAAACCTCATATTATATTTGAAAACAAAACTGTGTCTAACTTGTTAGTATCTCGAATGTCGTACTAAATGGAAGATGAAGCCGCCCTTGTGCAATATATTCGGTTGAGTAATATCATACACGGCAGATTCAACTGGGAGTCAGTTGGATCTCGCGGAAACACCAAGATAGATGGCAAATAAGAGTAGGTCTCTCTAAATTGTGAGTAGAACACGAGTTCTCTCATAAAGGAAACTACTCACAAGGTTGTTAAAAAATCTTCGAAAATCTTGATGGAAATATACTGCGATATACCGAATATCGTACCAACTGAAATATGAGACGGCCCGTGTGCAGCACATTCAGTTGAAGAACATCATAAACGAGAGATTCAGTTGAGTCTCTCGTGAAAACCAAATTGATTTGCAAACGTGTGTATTGGTCGAGACGAGTCTCTTACATACACAGTCGGAGGGAGCAGACGTCTAGCAAACGTGCAGTTTAACACATCTCGAAACGTGTGACTCGGATACTGTCATAGCAATTAGCGGGCAGGTCAAAGGTCAAACGGTGACTACACTATCAACTGTCAAGACTATCTTGGAAACAAACCAACAAGTTGACCTAGTGAACTCTTTCAGAGTTTCATCACAGAACACAAATTCTAGGTTTTTAAAGAACGATGATGAAGCCCGTCTAACCCGTCGCTGTGCACAAAAGCCCTAGAGAGGTCAAAATTTCAGCGGTCAAGTGAACTAGGACAAGTCCATTCACGAGTGTCGGTATTTTTTATCGTTGTGTTTTACGTTCCCCACAATGAAAGCAATGTTAGCATATCGATGCAATGGGAACTGTCAGTTTTGATGGGAAGAACGGCGTACTTGTCGTACGGTAGTTGTTGCTGCCAGAGTTTCGTTCATCGATGATTTGGGGATGTGGGGTAGATTACTGCGCAGTGGAGGCGGGAGCTGATCAATTCGTGCGTAAATACAGGGTTGTTTTTTGAGTGGGAGGATTGGGAAAGGAACTATGCATTGAAGGCAATAGCTTGGATGCCTGCTTGTCATTATTCACCAAGCTCAGTACACTATTGAAACCGGGGCTCGACCGAGTGGTGCAAATACACGTTGCGTTCGAAGAATATCGAAGTAAACAACATAGGGAGTCAGTAGAAATCACTGGAAAGGGACTTCAAGATCACCATCGAGTAACAAACGAACAATCTTGAAGGAAGATATGACGCGACTGGCCCCCAATTCCGTGGACTCCTGAAGGTAGATGATACAAGATGATGTTCAGTCGTGTTTTTGGCTGTTTGAAGACATGCGCATCTCATTGTTGATAATCGCTTCTTAGGACACTGGACTTTCTTGGCAAACCTCCACATTTTTTCTTCTGCCACTGAATTACCAGTATTTAGCACCGATGTATTGCTCTCTGTCTTTCTCGAGTCTGCCTTGACTAGCTCACTAGTGATTGTTCAGAAAGACGACAATTTGGCCGACGAGTATTCTGCGATATCCAACTATAACATGACTCCTATTGTCCACATTGATGAGTGACTTTAATGACCTTAGAAATTAAGACAATGTAACGGTCTGCTTCAAACGTAACGAGTGTTGGAACGTAAAGTTCACTGGGTGGTTAAATCATCCTTGGAGCAGTTGAATATACAGTAGCGCACAGACTTGTGTTATTGAAAATTGTCATCTGTCCATCAAATCATATGGGTTCCTATGATTTTTTCATATACAATGGAGAGTTCATGGGATAGAATCACTGCATGGGGGGAATCGTGGAGATTGATAGATGCTCTCAAAATAAACAGGAGTTTCCAGAGAAACTTGGCCGTGGACTGGTTTCTTTTCGAGATTCCCTACTGGAGAATATTGTATTTACCTGGAGAACTTTTAGGTAAAGGAGGGATAGAATCTAGTTGCGCTCAAATAAGAGGACGAATAAAAATCAAATGACAAGCTTACGTTTGGCTACCAACTCTTCAAGCAATGAAGGCCATTCAATGCGAAATTCATTCGCTCCTGTCAGGGAACCATCCCCACCGATGGCGACTAGATTGGTAATACCATGGCGGACCAGGTTGTGCGCTGCCTTCAGACGACCCTCCCGTTCACGAAAGTCTTTACAGCGGGCGGATCCAATCACCGTTCCACCCTTTAGTAGAAAGAAGGCAACAAACAAGCAAATGCTAAGATTGTGAAGGAGAAGAAACAGATCAGTGTGAATGTCAGGTGGGAACCAGCACCAGTTCAATACCGCTATGAAACCTCCGAACCAGGGAAAACTAGACGACACCTGAATGTACATAGGAAGGCGCAGTGCAAACTTTATCTGCATCAGCAATCTAGCCCCGCTCAAAATTCTCTTTACCACAGCCCAGTTACGTATCAAAATGGCAACATAGTTGAACAACTCAACTTTTGATTCTATAGAACGTTGGCAAGCATCTATGCAATGCTTGCCTACTTTCGGATTATCATCTCCTCGGGCAGAATTAGTTGGTTACAGAAGTGTTTCGGATGCAGGTTTTCCAGGCGCTGACTCGATGTACACTGTAGACGATCCAAGCAAGCAAGACCAAGTTATGCCAACCTTTGGTTAACGCATTTGTACGCAATTTGGCAACAGGTATCTGGGACCAAACAGAAACAAACTCGATATGGAGCAGACTATCAGGGGAATGCGATGCTCCCCCCTAGTAGGTTGTGGAACGTAGCAGGCCGGGTAAAGTATTGATGTGACAGAGGGAAAGAGGACCATTAGGCTGTCTATCGGATGACAACATTTTTATCTATCCGAGCGAGTCGTGTACCGCATCTGGTCACCACTTAACGCAGCTAGCCTTCAAAGCCATCCTACGAGAGTTGGGCGAAGTGTCTGAGTTCAGGTGTATACTAGTCCGGTGGGATATTCATTCCTGAACGAAACAAGAATGCAGCAACTGCAATTAGCTCTTGTGAGGTTGAACTGTGCTTCCCGGCTGATCCAGTCGCATTGGGAATTTCTGGCTACCCGGCTTCCTACCATAAAGCAAACACACCGGGTATGGACTAGTCGAGCAGCCGGGAACATCTGTGTGTCAACGCCATCGTCTTTGGTGCATGGCTGTCAGAATTCTCAACAATTTAACAAAACTTGATTTCGCTGACTCCTTTATTCCTATTTTCCCGGCTGATGAAAATACACAGGCCGGCAGATGATCTATAGCTGACAGACTGAAAGATGTGTCTGATGGCTAGTCTGGTCAGTGAAATTTTCTTTACACTGTATTTCAGATGATTGTATAACCAATGCCAAACTCATCACATTCAACACCAGTAATTCCCTAAGAAAAAATATCAATGAGAAAAGAGGCATTCAGCATCCTCCGGTGTCTGCTCGACAGAACGACGCCCCATGTGATGGCCGGCGGGAAATCCCGTACATTCCAGCCAGAACCTTATTGAAGAGTCGTTATCCTTGCCTTCAGTCAAGACCCTCAAACAAATGAAAGCAAACAAGACTTTGTCGAAAGATGTGCCTCGTGTCTCGCTAAATTAAGCACATTCGTGAATTCAACCTGTTTTTTAATCAAAACAGCACGTTATTGAATTATACCTCAGCTACGACCCAATCTACGGTGCCGGCGACGTTGGCCGATGGAATGATTGATTGACACATCTGCACGGTATAAACCATCCCACAGTCCGATTTAATCGTTTCATCAAACATCCTCCCAGGGTTAGGATTTTGCTTTGTGATTCGAATACGAAACCATACAAAGCAAAACTAAAATCAGGACCACCATACAAAGCCCTCAGGAGATGAAATTCAGGGTGCAGTGGGGCACTAAGTTGCCGATCCTACTTAGGAAAACCAAAAACGTGGAAAACCAGAATCGCACCAGGCTTCATCGAGAGACTCCAAAGACATTCCCGACCTGTTTGCCTCAAAATTTTGTGAATCATTCCGCCATCATCTTGTCAAGTTTGTGGATGAGATTCCATCCGAGATTTACCCGGTCCTTTTGCAAGGCAGCCATAGATGTCTGTACATTTACCCACTGGCATACTCTGTGGGATCTCAGTCCAGTGGGGGCCAAGTCTAAAAGTTGTTAGGAGGGGCGAAAGAGAGGCCGAGTGATAAAAACGTTTACGGGTACTCGATCTATGCACCGGCATTCCTCGGTTCCAGTCCNCGACCTATGCACTGGCATTCCTCGGTTCCAGTCCCAGCTACCGGCATCATCATGCAATCTTCTTCGTTCCTGTCCCAAGGCTCGCCATTTCAGTCCACGAAAAAAGGGAGCTGTTGGAACCAGGTCTTCGAGCAAATAAAGAGTAAATAGCAATGTCTGGGACCAGAGTCTTCGACAAAAGTTTCACAGGTTATGTCTAGATGTAGGTGCTGAGAGGAACAATAAAGGAGTACATCTGAGCGCAGAACATTGCATCGGCCTGAAGAAGTCAGTGGAAGCACTTTAGTACGCACCTATTGCACAACGTCATTGTGTGAGTCATCTGATGGCGTTGGCAAATGTTTTGTCTGGTGACCAATTAACAAACATGGTGTTATTTGGCATCTTGAATAGCTGTTATACCAACATACTCGAACTTTGTGAGGAGGAACCTAAGATAAACCTTACAGTCCCGCCCATTTTCATAATTCAAAACTCTGTTTGAAAGGTACAGCGACCGTCCTAAAGAGCAACAGCAGAGGGTGATCAATAGCTCAACTCCAGAAGTCCCTCACTTATAAGGGAAATACGAAGCTTACTAGAGACAAGGTGTAAATCCCTATATAACACGCCTCTCTAAAGAGTCAGCTCATTTACGGTGACCGCATCCTGCTGTTTATGCCGATTTCCCGGTTGTGACCTTAAGGAACGGATGCTCAACTCTTGAAAGACCAACAGACAAAATTTTTAACTGCTCCTCCTCTAAAAATCGTTCAGCCGTAACACCCTTCCGGTACCTAGCTGCCATGCCACTCAAAGGAAGCACGAGGGCTGAGATGCTGCTAGGTCGTTCAAGCCTAGACAAGGGAAGTCGAGAGGCAGAGGTGGGGTTCGAACCACGGACCTTCTGATTAGCAAATCCGCGCTCTCACAATTAAACCATCTCGCTCCTCCTCTAAAATCAAACAGTTAACCCGAATAGTATGAAATAGTTTAAAATGAAACAACCTCCCGTCCAGGAGTAACCAAATTTAGACGGTTCTATTGGTGGCGTTTGTAGGGAAGCTTTACTGTCATTCATGATAATTCCTCAGAGAAGTTCAACTTTTGAAAGGTACTCCAGTGACCAACAAACTTCCTCATATTTTGAGAGGCCAGTGTAAGTCCAGGCTTACGCACGTATTTATAATTAAGGTTTCAAAATAGACCCGGTATTGAGTTTACTCGGTAAAGGAGTGGGTCATGCATGCATACTCAGCCGCCCAACACCACAGATATCTGAACTCGTTCGACCATCCATCCTTCCATGGAATCAATCAATCAGTCATGCAACCAATCAGTCAATCGATCAGCTGATCAATCAGTCAATCACTTGCTCAGCTGTAGCATCTTTCGGCGCAAGCGTTCTATACCACCAGGAGTAACCATAGGGACTAGAAATACAGGTTGCTCAGCGATTAGAATCGACTAGCCCCAACATATCTGCAAACTCCTTTTGTTACCAAGTAAATCTAGGACACGACTGTGCCTCTGATCAGTGATGCAACCATGCCATCCACCAACATGAGGTGGTGTGCAATTGACAGACAACCGCAAGGTGGACTTACCTTCTCGATGATGTTGGATACATCCGCCCATCCGGCCTCCACTATATTTTCCCCACCATCTACCATACCTTGATATCCTTCTCTGATGAAAAACACGCGGCAACCGCAATAAATGCCCATACGAACAACAGCACGAACCGCCGCATTCATACCCTGAGCATCGCCTCCACTGGTAAACACAGCGATTGCTTTTCCCCTGAACTGACCTCGGGCAACGTATTTGCCCTCCATGCCTGGTTGGACCATGGTTTGACGGCGTTCAAACCTAGTGGTGATGAGGACAAATTTGAGGAGTGAAACACGAAACGTTGGACAATAGTCACACTAAAAAGAGTTGGATGAGCAGATAATGTGTGGTCAAATTAGGATACCAGTCAATGATGTGTAATATACGAAGCGATTTGGTTATGAGGGGGTGAAACACACAAACCAAATTTTCAACGTCACCAACCATTTCGATTGATCAAACAGCGAATAGTAAACAAGCAATTGCACGGCAGGAAGTGTCCAAACGAACATATACACACCACATAGGTTGACCTCAAAACCTGTGATTAGGCGATAATCGAAACGTATTGCATAAAAACGGGGACCGAAAGTAGACAGCGCGAGAAAACACACAGCCAAAGGTTGAGGGCGGCTTGTTGTGTTTCACAGGAATAAACAGCGTTCTGTCTGGCAGTCGACTGAAAGGAGTGCCGTTGAATCCAATAATCAAGAAGATCGAATAATCAGCATGAGTGGTATTACGAATCAAGGATTTTGTCATCGACGAATGAAGTCTCGGGTGATGATCATCAGCGATAGATCGTCTGAGAGGTCTCCTCAGCAGGTGCGTCACGAGTTGGGACGTGAGAGCTGTCCTTGGTGGAAGGTGGCTCAGATGCAACAACACCATTGACCGAATCACTATACCAAGCATGTCAGTATCCCCACATTACTGTGCTTCCATTCCGAAGGCTTTTCCATTCATGGAGTACATTCCAACTATTATTTCCCGGCATTCGACATAATTCAATGCTTCTGGTTGCTAAACAAAACGTCAGAATTCTAGAAGATTTCGGAAATTCACCTTTTTGTTCTGAAAATTCTAGCATCAAGATGCTTATAGAAATTGCAACAACGAACGTTAGGACTCAAGAAGCGAATAAGAGTAGTACAAATGTGAACACAGACAAGGCTTCTTCGCTGAACCCGACATCCTGGATCTAAACAGATTTCCATCTATACGAGCCCGTAGTGAGACAAAGTCACAGGAAACTTTGATGGCTTTGTTTCCGAATCTCTTCATACTATCAACGACACTTGGAGATCTCAAGTGAATTTGTCTAAATCCAAATTATTTCTGGGATCTGTAACGAAGATTTTCGACACTTACAAAGTGTGTTCTCAGAGTGTTCTTTTGTTAGTCTTTCGGAAAAACCCGGCACTGCTAAAATCGCGTAGAAGTCTACTGTTCACTGGCAATCGGTGCTTCAGGCAAACTGGGTAACGGTTGAGGTTACGCCACCTGAAAATCCCTTGGTTTCATAGGAAAAGTAACTGAAGGTAGGATGGCGTGCACACAAGGCCTGCTGTTTTTCTGCTATTCGCTGCCATGCTCAGCGACAAAACGGTTCACAGTCCAAACCTGATTGCTATTCAATTGGTTACCGTCACCATCAGCGTACAATGACCAAAGGACGGCCATTTGCAGAATATACCTTGTGAAACTGGTAGACTCAATGGTCGTTTGCGATATTATAAGACGGCGTAGCGTTTTAGCAAACAAACCATCCGGCGTAACTTTTGGGATCGTCAAATCCTGATGTAAAATATGCCATGCAAGATTTTTCTAAATACTGAAACTATTGACTGATGTAGTGGGATACAAAAAATCGGATGCATAACATAAATGGACGCTGCAATTACACTGGTGAGTCACATAGTGAGTTTCCGTTTGCGACAACTGTGCAGCGAAAAATTAGTGTCTGTGCCTTAGTTGGTTCGAACTATATTAGGTCACTCAAGCCCACAGTTCAAGTCAACCACCACCGATATAGTGAAGGGAGCAACCAGGCACCACGATGAACAGTAGACGAAAAGCTTGTCGCCGCCAAATACAAGAATGGTGCGGAAAGGCTTGATCCACACATGCGACCGAGAAGATCGCTCTCATCCGCATGGGTAGCAGTGGCAAACGGGTACACAAGAGCTTCTAGGCTGCCAAAAAAAGTCACTATCAAGAAGCCAAATTACCGAAGACTAAGAGGGCTGGGGACAAAAAGACCTTATCGAAATCCTAATGTCGTCACCAGATTAGATCTACTAAGGACAAGGGCAGCCGAGTGACTGTGCTCGAATGGTCCGGCCACATCCTTAGTGGGCATGTTAGAACATCAATACTGAACAGTTATTGCACGGAAAAGACAGCCTCGAGTAGCACAAGAATTCCTTCCTTTATCATTCAACCTATCAGAAATAAGCCATTCTCATGAATCAGAAGATGTTATTTGTGACGAACATGTGGGGAAACTTGTATTAGGAAAGAACAACCGAAATAGTAGAAGCTAGTTCCTCCAGATTATTCAGTGTCTTGCACAGAAGCTTAGATTGAAGCATTCACTACAAATCCATTCTGTCAATTAACACAGCTTCCACTAGACAGAGGATGACTTCTGACCAAGTTACGCCCTAAAAGGCCGAGTTACGAACGGAGAAAGTAGTCAGGTCAAATCAGGCAAGCAAACAAGGGCTTTGTGTACACATGAGGTGAATTTCCGGCAGTGGTGCTAAAAAAGGCTATCCGCAAGGTCCAGCTAACCGATACGGTGTGCGAAAAGGAGCAGTAACAGTGACCTCCGTCACTTGAGGATTTACTTGTGTGATAACGGAACGATAGTTCGTTAATTCAGACGGGAAAATTATGGAAGAAGTATACTCAGGACAGTGGACAATCACTGTCCATATAGAAGAAGCGGTAGTAATGGTATGGCTGTACGGCCAATGCCCCGACCCATATTGTTTAATCAAAGTTTTCTCAAGCTGCATTTAGCTGAAACATTGTCTCTAAAACCTTGGAGAGCTGAATCAGGGCTACATGATAAAACTCTCGAGGAAATTAAAGACAACCACCATCGGCAAT